AAAGAACTCACAATTCGATAAGAGTGCTTATGTTTCCTATCTCTTTGGGGATCGGACCCGTTAAGCGATTTCCAAGAAGAGAGCTGCAGCATTAACATCCAAATTCTGCTTTCAATATATAAACAACAGAGCATAGTATTAAGGCAGCCATGAACAAACATACATGCTCAAGGGCAACATGTATGAGCTATGGCCTATACTATACAATCGGCTATATCTCTCCTCTTCCCAAACCACCCTACCCATCCCATGATTTGAGCTTCAGAGGTCTAACATAAAGAATTAAATTCTTAGTTAATTAATGGAATGTTGGGCTTTATATACTCTCTTTGTCATAAAATAATTATAGTTTTTTGATTTTTTTTAAATTAAAGATTAAGAGACAATATTTATTTATATTTATAATATTTTTGAAAAAAAATAAAAGGTAAAAATTAATTTTTTATAATTAAATGATTAATTAAAATAAATAAATAATGACAGTTAAAAATAAGAAAAATATTTACCTATCTTAAAAAATAAAAATAATAACAATTAATTTAAGGTAAAATTCAAAATAAAAAAATAACAATTATTTTAGAATGGATAGAGTATAAATCAATGTAAGGTCGACTGCCAAGTAGACTTCAATATGATATTTTGAATAAAAATTATTTTTTAGAAAAAAGACTCTCATGTTATTCTTGTGGATTACAAAATATTTATCCCCTTTTCCAATCTAAATATGATTTAAAATTGTTTATCATCCTTTCACGTAGAGTCAAAACTCAAAATTTCTCCAGTGGACAATGTAACATATATGATTATGTTATGTGATTATATGAAGAATTTTACACTAAGGTGTAAATATTTGAACATGAGAAAGCATACATGTTGACAAGCTGCATGGAACCCCATTCTGAAGGGATAGCACCACTGAGGTAGTTGCGACTAAGGTCACTGTAACAAGGTATTAGAATAGACTAATGAGAAAACAAAAGGGAAACAAGGTAATTATAAAGAAGCATAGGGGCAAATTCAGATTGGTGAAGAAAATGCTTGGAAAAATTACTTACATTAATTGAAGGTAAGGGAGCCTGACCAACTCTGGTGGGAGAGTGCCCTGGAGACTCTGTGATGTAAGCACTCTGTTTCAACAGCAAATTGCACGTTAGTAACCCAATTTACTGGACTAGGGTGGGGGCTGGGGGCTGGGGGGATGGGTTTGACGTTTCAAGACCATTTTAAGTGCAACTTAAAACTTGGGTCTTTTTTTTTTTTTTTTGAGTCAAAGGGTCTCTTGAAACTCAATTTTTTAATATTCAAAATTAATATTTTTTAATTATTTTAAATATACATTATTTACATCAAGATGATGCACAAAAAAATTTAAATATTTTTAACGGTAGATTCTAAAACTTTAATCCGAACCCAACCTATGCGAGTCACGGGAGAGTCGACAGAGTCAACAGAGCCATGTGAGCCACTTGTGTGTACTTTATTTATAATATCCAAAAATGACAACTGGGCGGCTAGACCACCTCCTCTTTTTTGTCCTCTTTGCATACATTCATAAATATATTTTTTTAAACAAAGTAAAGTAATTCGTTAATCATGTAATTCACCAGAAATAAAAAACACTAGTTATGTAAATTCCTTTTCCGTAAAAATCATATGATTCAGAAAAGTATCTTAATTATATTACAGTCAAAAACATCTCGATCATATCCCATAAGAGTAGCTATGACTAGATTTTTACTCCATAAACATATTTATTCATTTATTTAATAGCATATGAGTATTTGTAAAATTAATTTTAAAATAAAATTTTGTTTAATTTAACTATATAAAATAATTTATAATTTATAATTAATGGTGAATATTCAGTAATTTATATTAGCATTATTTTTATTCAAACACTACTAACCATTATATAATAAATTGATATCAACTATAAACTTTTTAAAACAGTTAAATTAGAGTTAAGAATTATCCATATTTAAAAATGACCCTTCCATCAAAAAAAAAAAAAAAAGACCCTAAACATTTTTCTAAAAGAGAAGATGAAAAGGGAAATCAATGGAGAAAGATGAGCTTACTGCTTACATGCTAACAATATGGGGGATGGTGTCATTGGAACAGGTAACAGCATTTTCAAATCCTTCCGCTGCATTTGGTGTAGCCGATCCTGACTCTCCACAGCGTGGATCTATGTTGAAATCCCAGTCTGTCTTTCCCAAAGTCTTCGCTATCTCTCTCAACGCTCTCACTGCAAAATTCCAAGCACAACAACATACATAATCATCATCATCAAAAAAAAGAAAAATTACGAGAAGAACTGAAGAAACTAAGTTATATAGAAGACAATATACATTCGTCATCTGGTAATAAAGATGCAAATACAAAGGTTGCGAGGGAAAAGACGATGAGAGAAGCGAGAAAAAACGGAGGAAATAACATGGCTTGAAGAAATTGAAGTTTGGTAGAATAAGAGATTCTGGCAGCTGTATTAAAGAAGGTCAAATGATCAAAGGGAGGTCTAAATAGAGCGGCTGAAAGAGAGAGAAGTAAAGAAATGAGATGGTGATGGGGTTAAAGCCAACCGTCGTCCCTCTACTTTTGACTTTTATTCATGTCCATCCCTCTACTAAAGATTTGTTTATTGTCATCCCTCTACTTCACCAAAAGCACCAAGTGTCGTCCCTGTACTCCAATTATTTTGTTCGTTGTCATCCTTTTTCTGACGGAGTTGCCTTAGTCGTCTATTTGAACCGTTTAATCCACAAATGGTCAATTGTTAAAGGATTTCTTGGTTTTTTTTTTTTTTTTCCTCATATGTGCTGCATACTAGGAGGAGAGAAGCACCCTTTCGTCAATGTCTTGCTCCACTTCTTTTTTCAAATTCAATCATTTATAATGTTAATTTCTAATATTATCTCTTATATTTATTTGTTTTTACAGTAATTCACATTTAGCCCAACTATTATCCACTAGCAATTTTTAGTGAGACAGGTGAACTATGTTTAATATTACTATATAATGTATTAGTATGTATACATGTTGAGTTGATAAATTGTGATACTTTAAATTTTATATTAACTAAAAATGTAAATGTAAAAATTCATTATTACTGATAACTTAATGTTAAATTTTAAGTGTTCATAAAGTTAGCTTAAAAAGTTGTTAAGATTATTTTAATGAGTTTTTTTTAATAAGTTTTAAGGCATATATTAAAAGTATATTTATCATATTTTTTCACAATTTATATAAAAAAATTATAAAAGTAAATTTTATTTTTAATATCAATCTCACATAAAATATTTTAATTAGATTAGATAGTTAATAAACTCTAGTCAATTTTTATTTTTTCATACAAATTAATGATGAAAAGATGCACATGTTGAAAAAGTTCTTTTTTAATAGAGGGCCTTTCTAATATCATCTATTAAATATACTTTTTTATTATAAATTTGTCTTGAAAAAATAAAAATTGACTTCTAATTTATTAATTATTTAATTAAATTTATCCACTTGATATCAATATTAAAATTAATATCAATTTTTAGATTTTTCTATATGCATTTATGAAAAAAAAGGTTAGTTAAAAAAACTTTTTAATATTTGTCTTAAGTAAACAATTAAAAGTGTAATTAATGCACATTTTAACTATTAAGTTACATAAAAAATTAAATACTAATAATTTTAATTTTAACAATTAATCAATTAAATTAATACATATAACATTAGCGTTAAAATTAATATTAGTTTTTTTATTCTTCATATTAAGTGACTAAAAAAATGTATTAATTATACTTTAAGGCAAAGTTTGAAAAAATATATATATATTTCAATAACCACCTAATATCACATATTTAATATAAAAATATTTACTTGTGTTTTAAGTGTGCATTTATTACATATTTTTTTCATTTATTTGTATAAAAAATTACAAAAATAAATCTTATTCCTAATATTAATGTCATGTTAAATGATTTAATTATATAATTAAAGTTAATTTTTGTTTTTTATATAAATTAATAATACAAATATATAATAAATAAACTTTTAATATGTAAAAATTAAAAAATTCCAAAATATTTTTATGTCTATTACTTATTTATTGCAATTCAACTACAAGACACAACACTTAGAACGTCATTTGTCTTGGATGAAGCAAAATCTCATTTGAAAATAGCAACATGCATGTTCATCATCCAGTACCCAATCCGTATCCCCTTGATTCTGTCCTAGCTGGCAACACACTCGGAATAATAAAATTCCAAGATATGCTTTAACAGTTGACCATTGACCGTTTGTGGATTTAATGGTCCAAATAGACGGCTAAAACAACGCCGTCAATAAAAGGATGACAATAGACAAAACAAGGGGAGTACAAGGATAACATTCAGTGCTTTTGGAAAGTAGAGGATGACAATGAACAAATTCTTAGTAGAGGGATGGACATGAATAAAAATTAAGAGTAGAGAGACTACAGTTGGCTTTAACCCGTTATAAAATGTTCAAAAAAGTTGTTGGGTTTTATTTGCCCTTATCTTTTGAGTAATAATAAGGGGAAAAAATCGGTGGACGACAAGTGAAATATGATTAAATTGATAATTTTATGTCTCATACTTCACTTATCGTCCTTCAATTTCGTATCATTGATCATTACTCTTATCTTTTTAGTCTTTGATTAGGCCATGCAAAAGGCTAAGGTGGGGACAAGCCAACTGACTGTATATTAAATTGATTTGATGTTCCATTAAAAGAATTGAATTAAATGAAGCTGGTAAAAATCAGGCAGCTGCAGCAATGAGTACTTTTCTTTGTTTATCCTTTTAACAATTTTTTAAGGGCGGGTTCAAACTCCCTATGGGAGAGAGGGAATGTATCACAATATGATAATGTATCACTTAGCTCGGTGGGTTGGTGTACTTTTCTTTGTTTTCTCGGCCACATGGAAGATGTAGATTAGAATTAATTTTCCCAGCGTTTCTAAAAAGGAGGAAGCTTCTCCACATGTACCAAGCAGAAGAACTTGAGATGTGAGAAAGGAAAATAATTATTTTATTTAGATACTAAAAAAATTACAGGGAATATAATAGCCTTCTATTTTATTTTTTACGTTGTTTCCTTCACGTGTCCAAACGATTCTCCCTCCTCCTTTATTTTTCTCAAATCTTATAATTTTTTTAGTATTAATCTCTTTATATCTTATAATTATATTAAATTTTAATTAATTTAAAAATTAAATTATGTCAGATCTCATTTAAAAAAGCTCTTCTAACATTTATTTCTCTATTCATAAGATTTGAACTTGAAATCTTACTTAAAAAAAATTAAGTTCTTTTTACTCGAATTAATAAATTATTGATTCTCAAACTGTATATACCTTAATGGCTTTTCTTCTTTTTCCTTTTTTTTTTTAATATCATTTGAAAAAAAATAGTTTACATGTCATCGTCTCAAATTTTTTTGGATGATGTGTTTAAAATCTTATTTTTAATTAATATTAAAAAAACTAACTACTAAATTAAAATTTTTATTCATATAGACAATGTATGTTAATTGTTAAATTATTTTAATATGTTTAATTATTTTGTTGATTATATAAAATTTATCATTGATAAATATATTTGAGTAAATAGAGTTTTTTAATCAAAATATTATAAGTATTATATCAATATAAATATTAACATATATAATCTACATGAATATAATTTTTAATTTAACAATTGATAATTTTTAAAAATATTAATTAAAAAATAAATTTGTATAGAGATCCTCCAAAAAAATTTTTTATTATAAGAAGAAAAAGAGAAAATTTTTTTATCAAATCAAATTA